CTTCAGGATATTAAGGCACTCATGTGCCTTTTTTGGGGCCGAGATGTTATATAGATGCTTTTTATAGTAGGGGCTTTATTGTAGACATGTTTCTGTGGCTTTTCAGATATACTTGGTGTCGGAAAGCCACGGTTGCAACCACCTCCTCTATTATTTGCACTGGGAGTAGGAGTAGGTGCTTCAAAAATACCCGCAAACTGATGCCTATATGAACCAATTGTATGGCAAAAAACCTTTAATGAGGCCCACCAAAACCTGCTGGGAGCAAACCAAAAATGGCACCCATCGCAACAAATGGTATTGAGCTCAGAGCAAAACTATGAAGGAACCGATCCCGAGCAAATAGTGTGGGCACAAACCTAGAAAATGAAGGCAGTGTCATGGTATATTCCTCATAGTGAGATGCGATTTCATAAAATGGCTGCCCTCTGCATTGGAAGATCGGCAACGTCAAATCCAATAAAACCCTTTTAACCTTGCTATGACTAAACTGTTGGATAGGGTGATTATCCAAAATCACCCACATAAGGAAATCTTATGTTATGTGGAATTGAGATTGATATTGACAAGTTTCTTAAAGGAAATATAAATTCAAAAGGAGTAGGACTCTTAGAATATCTCTTGGTTCTTGAGATATATGTAACACTTATATGAAGTTTTTTATTTGGTGTGAACTCCTAACCTTTTATATATATGATGAAAGTGCAGAGAATTTGTGTACTCTATTTGGATCACTATATGGGAAATGTGGCTTTCTCTAAAGAGATAGCCTTATTTGGGTCATCATATGGGAAAGGTATCTTCTTCTAAAGAGAGAGGCAGGGCCGCCTCCGCATCGACAATACCTCCTTTTAGAGAGAAGAGAGCTTCTTACAGAGAAAAACACCATGGATGTGTCTCCTGTAGATTGATAGGCTGGTTTCTTGTAGAGAAGCAGTTCTTATGAAGATTTTGAGCGGTTTCATCTTTTAGAGATAGAAAGTCCTATAAAGATTTTGAGTGGTTTCACCTTTTAGAGAGAGAAAATCTCAGTTGCTCTCAAGGTTCTCCTCGTGTACAATAGCTCAATTGTGGATCTAAGATGGGCCTCTTCTTGGATAGTGGTTTAGCTGTAGAATAGAGCTGAGATATCGACGGGTTGTGCCGATCCAAATAGCGGATCTAAAAGGGTTTGCTTTATTAGGTTTTGTCTAGGGTTAGAGATATAAATCTCTATCCCAAAATCTGTGATGTAACTTTTATTAGTATAGTGGGTTTCAGTTTGTTGTATCCATTGATGTAGCCTTCTTAGGGTGAACCACGTAAATCTTTGTGTTTGTGTGGTTGTGTGTTTCATATTTTATTTCTCGTATTATGGCTCGTGATCTCTCATATTTTATTTCTAACTGGATATTGATGGGATCCAATTTTTGGGATTCCTATTTCCGCGAAGGTAACATAAATACATAGCATAATAAATGCAATCAATGTGGGAGCAAACCAGTGAAGGTACCTGTCCAACCGAATTGTGCAAGGGAAAACCTAGAAAATAAAAGGTACCACCAAAAGTCGATGGAATTAGAAGCCTCTAATGACAACCAAACATCATCAAATGTCTCGCATTTCGCATCAACTGGGTGCTCGACATTCAGGGTGGCAATTTATTTGGCCGTATTTATGTATCAGAGCATCAAACCAACCCTATTGGGGTAACCTATTCCTAAAAACAAACTTCTAATCTAAGGCGGGCACCAAGTCCTCATTTCACCCTAAAACCATAAAAAGGTAGGATAGATGTTGGTTTCTGATCGAAGCGGCCCATAAACAAAAATACAAGGTTGTATGCTCCAACAAGAAATAGGTATCTATGTTTAGCTACCAAGAAAGTAAAAAAGGCTTGAAAATCCCCACAAACAATCACACACCCGAGCAAATTTTGGAGGATCCTTATAATTGGAGAACCTCCGGAATAAAAATCTAGAACAAATTTTCTAGAAAACATTTTTTAGAAAGCATTTTCATATGAAAGCATTTTTAAGAAAACATTTTCTAGAAAGTATTTTCATATGAAAACGTTTTCTGAGATAATGTTTTCTGAGAGAATATTTTCATCTGAAAATGTTTTCTAAGAAATGTTTTCATATGAAAATATTTTCAAGAAAACATTTCCATATCAAAATTTTTCTAGAAAACATTTTTCTGAAAAATATTTTCTCATAGAACACTTTCTAGAAAATATTTTTCAGAAAACAATTTCTTAGAAAATATAAAGCATTTTCATATGAAACTATTTTCTCATGAAAGCATTTTCTAGAAATATTTTCCTAAAAATATTTTCTCAAAAAATATTTTCGAGAAAATATTTTTTTAGAAACAATTTTTTAGAAAATGTTTTCTTAGAAAATGTTTTCTTAGAAAACATTTTCATATGAAAGCATTTTCCAGAAAAATGCTTTATGAGAAAATGCTTTCTAAGAAAATGTGTTCTGAGAAAATTCTTTCTAAGAAAATACTTTATGAGAAAATGTTTTCAAGGAAATGCTTTCTGAGAAAATGTTTTCCAGACAATGCTTTTTGAGAAAATGTTTTCTAAAAAAATGCTTTCTAGAAAAAAAAAAATCTAGAAAATGTTTTCATATAAAAATACTTTTCATATGAAAATGTTTTCTAAAAACTAGTTTTCTAAGAAATTGTTTTCTAAAAAATAGTTTTCTAAGAAATTTGTTTTCTGAGAAAATATTTTCTAATGTTTTCTAAAAACATGCTTTCTAGAAAAATGCTTTCATATGAAAATACCTTCATTTGATAATGTTTTCTCGAAAAATATTTTCAAGAAAAGTTTTGGTAGCATAGACAGCAATCTCGTACCATAGAAAAGTGGGTCAATTTACCGAGGGAGCAATGGAGTTGAAATGTTGTACGGTGATGGGAAGGCCCCCTGAAATGCTTAAATCCAAAATTTTAGATCAATCTGCTACTATTTTTTAAGAGATCTCCAGAGTAGCATACTATTTTCATGCTACTGCAGGTATCATTCACCCAAAAAAACAACAAAAATAGGTCGATGACCCCTTATTCTTTTGGTCTTTTCTCCTAATTCCTACGGCAAATTTGGCTAAAATTTGGAGAGGATGTTTCTTATTACCATGCTTTTTCTATATTTATGTACATCAGGGTTTTCCTTCCCTAGATCATGGATAAACTAAAGTCCAACGTTGAGGTGGAAGAAAGTTTCACATTTTGCAACTTCATTCTACTCCATTAATTTCTTTCAATCTAGGTGGAATCTTCAGCATAATGTTTGCAAGCTAACTCTTCATTCAACCCACTATTCATACATGTAACTCATTACCTGCTTCATATGAAGATTGAAGTTTTGAAGCCCAAAATTTGTAAAACTTTTGATGTTACAAAAAAAAATGTGACATACACCTGCAAAAACAATCATAAAATACATGAGCTTTTGTGAAACATGAAAAAAATAATTCTAGCTCAATTATGTACTAGTCTATGGAGCCAAAATGGTCATGAATTAGTGAACAAAAAACTAAAATAACAAGAGAAAGGGATACTATGTTAACCCCCAAAAGCTTCCGAGGGTAATACATTGAAGTTTTGCCAAATAATAAAATGAACCTCGTCATTAATGACAAGACACAATGATGATTTTCCATCTGTCGATCATCTAAAATTTTAGTTTTCCACCCATGTCTTTAAATTATAAGGAGATTAGGTTTCTAGAGCCAGAGGATGAGTTTAAAATTTTTTATGAAACATTTTAACTTTTTTTTTTTCTATAAACAAGAAAAGCTAGAAAAGTTTGACGTGTGAAGATTTAAAAAATAAAAATTAATAATAAAAAAAAAGTAAAAAAAGAAAGGCTTTTAAATGGGCCAGGCCTTATTGGGCAGGGCCAAAAAGTCAAGGCTGACCCGGTGGCAAGTTTTCGGGATTCTCTGGACAATTTTTACCCGGCCTCTAAGGAATGGCCCGGCCCGATGAACAGTTACTCTCTTGTGGCACGAAGCCCGAGGTCTGGCCTGGATTATTGGCAGCTGCACACATGGATGACCCAACTACCACGATTATAAATCTTCAAAATAATATTATAAATATTATAAATCTTCAAAACAAACAGAAAAGGTGAAAAAAATTATGATTTTAAACTTGGATTTCAGATTTCTTTTGGACCGTTCATTTTGATTGCTCTAAAATCATATGTTAACCTTTGAACTCTTTCTTTTTCACAGTGATGATCGGGTGGTCAAGACACAAGATTATCGTGAAATTGTTGATAAGATTTTTCCAACGAGCACATGTAGTTGACCTACTTGGGAGGATTTTTATTCAAATGTGAAATTTTGGGAGCCACCTAAAAATTATTAGGTGAGTACTTTGAAAAGAAGATTTTAAAATTTGAGTTTCCTACTACCTAGACTTTACCTTTTAAAATTTGAACAAACTCTACTCAATCTTGAGACATTATTTTTTATAAAATTTTAAAAGGTGCAAGTATACTTTTTTATTTCTATTAAGGTTAATATAAGTATTAAAGAGGTTATATCTTTCAAATTTGGGGTCCTAAAACTAAGTCCTTGTAGGATTTTACCCAAGGGAGTAAATCGACAATATACTCAAGAGGGAGTAGAATTTCTTTTGGCTAAACCCAATTCATTTAATGGGAATGGCAATGGGTTGGGTCAGATCCAGCATACCCGAATTCACGGAGCCTAACCCAAAAATTAAAATATCTATGTATTTTAATAATATTGAAATATATTTCATATATTGGAACCCGAAAAATATTATCGGACCGGGACTCGGACCCAAACCTAGACCCAAACAGTATTTGGATTCAAAATTTAGACCAAGACTCGACCCGTTGGATTCAATTTTTGGACCCATTGACCCGGATCGGGTCTACCCCTAGAGCCCCGGTTCAACTCCAGGTCCATTGGCTACCCTACAAATTTAAGATATAACCGGCAATATGCGGGAACATTTATTGAGCCCATGAAGTTTTCAACATCGAGGACTTCAATGCTCGGGGGTGGCTCACCAACAAAAACCATTAAATCCAAGACCTGCTTCATGGCACAGTTCATGGTTATAGAGAGAGAGACACAGAGGATCTCTTATTGGGGTAAAGGAAAAAGCAGGAGAGAAGCCATAGAATTGAAAAGCCTGGAGAGAGAGAGAGAATGGCAGGTGAGAAGGGGAGGGGAGAGAAAGAGGAAGATGCAGAGAAGGGTTTTGAGCTGAGTGTTGTTTGCGTGGGGGTAGTGGTGTGCATAGTGGGGTTGTACACTTGTTTCTCTCTCAAGAAAATGGTTGTTACCTATGCGACTCTTCTTGTCCTTGTTGCAGGGGTTTTGTTGCCTGATTGGACCTTCTTTGCCAGAGATTTCTCGCAGTGGACCACGCCCATGCCCCTCCCTCGCCCCATACACCATGCGCCTCCCTCCTCACCCGGGTGCGTTCTCTCTCTCTC